AAGGCCTACATATCTCTATTGGGATGGACCATTTCCAAAGATGATAGCAGTAGTCCCTCCAATCCCTCCCGACCTTTTGCAGTGTGACTTTGCAGCTCCTCTCATTAAGAAGCTGAATCTGTTTCCACTCCTCTTGCATCTGGGATGGCCTGTGACTGGCTTTGACTACAGAAGCTAGCAGAAGTGTGCCTAGGACACAAGTGGTCTTGAAGTTTCCATTTTCCTTCTCTTAAAGACATCTATCCTATAAAGAATCTTGGGCTACTCTGCAGAGAAATGAGAGACCACATGCAGACGGTGGCCTTGCAAAGAAGAGACATGAAGTGCCCTGGGTAACAGCCAGCACCGAGATCCCAGACACGTGAGCCCAGGCATCTTGGATCCTCAGGGAAACACCATGTGGAGCAGAGAAGAGGCATCCCCACCACACCCTGCCTGAATTCCTGGCCCACAGCAATATGAGCAATGCAGTAGTTCTTTTAAGCCATTGAGTTTTGGGCAACATTTATTAAAGTATTTACCATTAAATACTATAATTACTTGTTTATTTGTCTGTCTTTCCCATTGAGACTGAGAACTATTTATAAATGGAGGGAGAATAGTTTCATCTTAATAACTGCAGGACCTGACACACAGGAATGCTTTACAATGATGAGCCCGTAAAAAAACGAGGACTTCTCAGGGAGATCACAGAGAAGCCTTAGCATATTGGGAATTGTTTTAGGGAAACAGGAGCCAAGAAATAAAAGGTGTTAGAGGATGTTTGAGGAAGACAAGAATAGGAAATTCAGAGGAACTGAAAGGGATCTCCAAACCTCTTTTAGTTTATGAATTCTCCCAATAATTGGTGTATGAAAATTGATCGTCTATTTTAATCAATTGCACAGCCTAAGTGAGCCCCACAAACTCTGGTATTTCCAATGGCCTGTTAGGCAGCTGCCACTCTGTGCAATTAAACTGTCAATCATGGGTCTCATTCTGTAGAAGAAGTTTATACCATAACAGAGGAGTAGTTGTATCAGGACATTGCTGACCTCAAGAGGATATGGACAGGTGGGGAGGACAGAAGTTCAGCTTAAATGGTTCTAGAACTAGAAAGAATTGTCATAATCATCAGGTTTAGTTCTTTCTCTTCATCTAGCATCTACTGAGCACATCTCGGCCACAGCACTCTCTCTTCCTCTCCCTCTTTATGATGGAGGCTTACTGAATTGAGAGAAGTTTCTTGAAAGTCCTATAATCTGTTGTGTCTCAGTACTTTTTCATTTTTTGTTGCTCCTTCCTGCAATGCTTGATGCCATTTCTTATGTTCTTTATCTAGCAACTCCTACATTTATCTCTAGTGCTTCGCTCACTTTGTTGCTTCATTCGGTCCCCAGAAATAAGCTCCCCATGTTCTCTGCCATTTCCAATGTCTCAAGACTCAATTTGAGTTTTCCCTGCCCTGTGAGGCCGTCAATGACCACATCAACCTGTGGTTTCCTAGAAATTGGTGGAAAAGGAAGTGGCTTTGGGGCAACATGGATTTGGGTTCAAATCCTGGCCATGCTGATTATCATTCTGCACAAGTTCCTTAATGACTGATGTTTCCTCATCTGTATAATGGGCATGATGCTACCTCTTCATGGGGCTGTTGTGAAGACACAGGAGACATTTACATGAAGTGCTTAGCCCATCCTGGTACATAGCAGAACAATGATATATGTTATTTTTTCCTTCTCTCTAACTTCTGGTACATAATATCTACACCACTCATTTGTCCTCAATCATATCTGTTTTTGACAGCTCTTGTTCTTGCACTAGCCTTGAACTTTAATATTATTGTTTTGATTTTGACACAAGCTTTCTTTTAATAGCTGAATCACCAACTTTTTATTTATCTTTACATGTTCCAAGAATAATAAATATTCTTAATAAATATTGTTGAAAGAGTAAAAGAATGATAAGAAAAAAAAAAAAACCTCTTAGGGCTCACTACCCTCTACCTGGTAATGTTACATAATTAAGGCCAAGAACTCAATAAACTTTAATTAGAGTAACTCTAACTCCAGAACATTTTTTGTTTTCCAGCAAAAGAAGGATTAGGGGAAATCTTACAAATGTTTCTTTATCCTGTAGTTTCAGTTTAATAGAATAAAATGCAGATCCCATTCTCTTAACAAAACTACTCCCAGCTTTATAAGCAATGAAGAGAGAAGAGCTACCCTCTACGTTCAGGTTTTTCTAATAAAAATTTATGGCCAGGTAAAAAATAATTACTGGGAGTTAAAAAGCAATTATGTGGATAATCATTACAAATTAATTGTATGGAATTAAGCAATAGAAAGTTCCTATTCAATAGGAAAATTACTAATTCCATAGACAATTATAAGAACTATCAAATTTATGGATTAAGATATTAAGGGCTCTGTAATGTGGATATGCTCATGAGGAGGGAGAATGAATCTTCTAGTACAAGAGTGTTCTGTTAGAAATAAAAGGTAGGACGACATATTTGAAGTAAACAGAGAAATGGACTTAATCTGTGATGAAAACCAGTTTCAGTACATCCTCAGGGCATATGGGGTTTAAAGGAGAAAAAAACAAAAAACAAAACAGGCCATATGGTCAAGCTCCAAAAGACCTCCAGAAAGGAACTATAGAAGGTTTCTGGAATGTAAAAGTCCTGGCCCCTTGCCAAAATTGAGACGGCCGGCGAAAGCAAACCTGCATGCCAGCACCGGACAGAGTATTTAGGTGTTCCAGCCTTCTCTGGAACAAAAGAAAAGGAAGATTCCCCAGCAACTGCCTAGCGGTGATCTTCATATTGTTTGTTATGCTGGGGAAATCCTTGTCAACAGAATCTTAGGGGGCACCCCAATTTATAAAAGAAATAACTGTGTTTCTGTGTGGCTGCAAGTAAGCAGGAAGAGAAAGAGTGATGGGACCTTTGGAGGAGCTGGTAGGATTTCAGAGGCTGCACCATAGGACCTTAGGCCAGGCAGAACATGTTTGGACGACCACCAGCCTAGGGTATCTGTAAGTGTTTACAGATTGCTTTTATCAACAGGAAAGTTTTTTTTTTTTTTTTTTGATCAAGACTTAAGTTTGTTAAAGGGTCCAGTATAAAATGAAGCAAATCTAGTGGCTGAATGTTTTTAGCATGATAAAAAAGACAACTTCAACACAACATGCAAGGGGAAAATAAGTCCTTGTCTGCCCTATGCCACTATGATCTCAGCAGGGTTTATTCTTTTTGGAAAGTATTTTTAAAGCCATAATTGATGCTCTCAGTGGAAGTCAATTTCAACTTAGTAACACCTAAATATGTCTGAGCCAATAGGCTCTGGATGGCCCTTCAGAAAGAGATGTCAGAAAAAGCAACAGCAGTCTTGATATTTTCAGCTGCTTTTAGGGAAGTCTCAATGTCCAAGGATATTAACAGTCTTGTCAGAGCCCTCAGTAATGAACCTTTATGATCTTGGGTCCCATCCTTACTTGGGAGTGGTTGTATCTAGGTTTCTGACCTCAAACACTAGAATGTGATCATAAAACCAGGATCAAACAAAGAAAGGAAAGAAAAGTTATGATGGTATCTCTGCCCAAATGAGAACCCTCAGGGACAGAATGATCCCAAGGGTGAGTAGGTGAGTAGCCAGAGATTTACAGGCATTTCAGGGGCAAGAAACATCTTGGGCAGTGGTCTCAATAGACATTTAGTGATGAATAAGTGGTGGACATTATTGCAGTTTCCCTCATGCATATGACAGGAGTTGAACACTTTCTCTTCACATGGTTCCAGGTTTCAGGTAAGTAGTTAGGAGAAGGCAGGCCCAAGATTTCTGGTTGATACTCCCCAGGCTAGAGCAATGCCTTTTGTGAAGAGAGGAATACAATTCGGGGGCCATCAATTTTTACACACAACCCAGGCTCCAGAGCACCTCCAGCCTCTCCCTGTGGGGCCCATTCATTGAAGTCACTGTGTGTGGGACTAGGCTTGGCAAGCCCCACCTGTCCTGTGATGTGAGAAGAACTCGCCTTTCCCCTGGGCAGGTGCCAGCTCTCCAGGATGATCAAATGATGGAGGATTGCACGAGCTTCCCTGTGTGGCTTACCATTTCCCAACAGGGAGGCTACCTGTTTGGCTACTTGAGTTTGCAAGGCAGGTGAGTTTACCCTCCTGCTCAGAGCAGAGCGACAGGGCATCCTGAGGGAAGTGGGCAACTGCCTGCATAGGACCTCCCAGACCCAGGCTCCCTCTTGGAAGAAGCTGACAACATTTCTTGAGTTCCTCCTCCTCCTCCTCAGCACATCCCTCAAACATTCCGACACAGCAGGAGCAAAAAAAAAAACTGTCAAGTGGGAAAACACTTAAAGGTCTGTTTAAAAGATGTTGTTTTGGTTTCTCTGTGCAGTGTGTCACAATAAACCATGCTTTCTGAAAATTTTTGGAAAGGAATGTCTGTGATGTCAAATTCCAAAGGACTCTGGCCTCATGTCAAATTGTGAGCTATGACAATGCTCCACTGAACACCAAAAACAACTCGCCTTTCAAGCAGAGAGGCATTTCTCATGTCCCTGGGAAGAATGCCATCTCCACCACTCCACCGCATAATCTCAGCAAAATGTACTCTGACTTCTTCTTTTTCCTCTGAAGCGTAAGGAATGTGGCAGTTCTCCCGATGGACTGAAATTTAGCTGAAGAGTTGGAGCCTTCACAATCCTGCCCCCCCAAAATGCTCGTGAGAAAACAAAAGTCTAGTAAGTATGTTTGTCTTTTAGGGAGTCTAATGCTATGTGGATCTGTGTGTGTCCTCTTTTGCATAGAGAAAAAGTTTTCTCTTTGCTCCACATCTAAACTTTTTGGTAGTCAAGCATTTGATAGGAGCTGAAGTGAAGAATCAAAACACATAAAAACACCCCTAAGAGGAACATTAAGTTAGAACAGCCTCAAACAGCTTAACAGAGAAATATTGAAACATTCTGGTCATTCAGAGCAGGGTGAGGGAAGTGCCTCTTACCTGGGCTTCTTTCACTATTCCATTCTTTGTGCAGTTTCCACTCCGAGAGCCATTGCTCTGCTTCTGGCTTTTGTGAAGGTTCCCATTGCAGACTGTACCACCTCCAGGATTAGCCATTGGTGTGCAGTGATAGAAACCGGGCAGGTTTTCCTTCTGAGGTCTCCGCAAGCTTTAGTTTTTCAAGAGTATGAGGGGATGGGATAAAACACTTTGGGGCTGAGCCCTTAAAGGAATCTTACCAATCTGGCTTTTCCAGAAGAAGAGCAGCAGCCTATCTATTTGCCAGATCTTTGAAACCAAAAACAAACTGTTAACCTTTATAGTCCTCAAGTCCACTCAGAATGTGAACTCCATGGCAACAAACCTGCTTCTAAAACTGCAAAGGAGATCGCTCATGCTGGCTCCTTCGGAGGACTCAGGAAACTGGGGGATGAACAACCCAGTGGCAAAGTGTTGAGGAGGCGGGCTGGGAGGTGGAGAGTCTTTTAAAGACACACACACACACACAGACACACACACACACACACACACACACACACACACACGCACACAGTTTTCTAAGTACAGTCAGTTCTGATTGACCTCTTCCTCTGCTCCCTCTCTCCTGCACATAATTACTTTTTTTGACTGTAAACTAAGCTCAGAAGCCCCGATTTAATTTTGCCGTAAAATAACATCCAGGGACTAGAGGGGTGGGGGAAAGGGAAGTTATTGTTTAATGTGTACAGAGTTTCAATTGGGGCAGATGAAAACGTTACTGTGATGCATCGTTGCACAACAATGTGAGTGTACTTAATGCCACCACACTGGATATTTAAAAACGATTCCATGATTTAAAAATGGTAAAATAAAATAACAAACGGACAACATTCACCATTCAAAACCCAACTAACATTATAACCTGTGATACAATGAGGGGTACTAACCCACCAAGAATTCCAGTAAGACAGCGACTACATTATCTTTATCAAATGACTTTGGGGGAGCCATTTATACACTTTATGCCTCAGTTTTACCACCTATAAAGTGACACAAAGCATTTTGGTGGACTAATGTTTCCTGGGGTAGTAGGAAAGTCATGCCTGGCTTGGGTTTGTTACTGACCATGTGTTGTTATGCAGATGGTGACTGCAGGGTCCCAGTCCTGAACCACCATGGCCGGTTTACTCATTAACTCTTATTCTCTCAATGCACCAATCATCAGAGGTCTGTGTCTTCTTATTATCATCAAATGGCACTGTGGTGACATGGTTTATTGGAGAGTGTCAATCATTTGCAGTCTGTTGAGTCTTCCCAAGCCCACCCTCCTGTTTTTCCTGAATCAAGACTTCTTTAACATTAGGCACACAGAAAAGAAAGCCCATTTATTGAGCAATAGACAAAAACAAACAAACAAAAACAAAAAGTCAGAAATGATCTCTATTTCCAGAGCCTCATTTCCTGGTTCTCAGCTCCCTTGGGCAGGGTTTGCTTGTACTCCAGAATGATGTGGCTTTCAAAGGAGGACAAGATAATGCTTCTCATAACCATTATTTGCATACATGAGGGTCCCCATTTTTTCCATGCCAGAGAGTGCTGGAGAAATAAGACAAGCTCCTTGGGCTAAGTGAAAAGATGGCCTTAATACCAACTGCATCAGGCCCAATTTGTGTCTCAAGCTCAGAATTTGTATTGCATTTCTCCTAACTGTTGTCAATTGTCATCAAAGCAGAACTATTTAAAAGCTTTTCACTGATATTTCTCTTCCATGGCTATTACATTGGGAGTTGGGAGGTAAACCTGTGTAGGTTTATTTTCTTCTAAGACTTACAGAATAGAGAGAGGAAGAGGCAGGAGAGGGCACTGATTACTATTGGCCTGAATGCCTCATGTTGCTTAGAAAGACAAGTTGAAGACACCATTATTCAGTTTGAGTTCTATTGTCCCATACAAAGCCATTTTTGGAATGAGGATTTTGAGATAAAACTAAGTAAATTCTGAACATTAGATATTTCCTCTATTTCTCCTTTTCTTCTTCCTTCTCCCATTTCCTCTTTTCACATTTCTCCTTTTCTCTTTCCTCTTACCCTTCCTCCTTCTCCTCTCTTTCTTCTTGTGTAGCTTCTTTTTAAAAGCAAGCAAAATTCGTGTATAGAGAAAACATCTCAAAACACAGTTGAACTCTGCTTCACTTTTTTTCTCCTTAATCCCAATTGCCGATGTTAGATAATCACACATAGACCTTCAGGAAACATCTAATGCATGCTCTCACTCTTGAAGCTTTTCTACTTTATTTGCCATATTGGGATATGTGCATTGCTGTTGTGTGCTCAAAATCATCATAATGCACCAACCATTCAGCATAGGTACTGCTGGTGTGTATAGTCAGTAATGGTTCATTACTTCATATCATCTCCAGTAAAAATAAGTGTGGAGTTCTGTTTGAGCGAGTGGTAGCTTTAGGTTTAAGGATTGGATCAATACTAGAATACAGACTAAATATTGAGCAAGATTTGGTGTCACTGAATAACTAAATACATTTCAAATTAACTGGTAAACTCAACAAATGTTTGAATAACTACTATGTGTTAGTTTAGTTTCTAAAGCCTTGATTATCGCAATGAAGAAAATATAGTCTCCACCCTCATGGAATTAAGAGCAGAGCCTGCATATCTTCCGCTCAAGATATCTCATTATTGAAGGTAAAAATACACCTATCCTTTAATACATTAAAGGAAAAGATAAAATTACTTAGCAATGGCTCTGAGTGTTCTCTGAAGTGATGTTTCCCCCCAGATTCCAGCTCCAATTCTCAGCTCCTCTTTTGATGTAGCAGACACAAAGGGAGATACCAGGGTAGGAGTAGGCAAGACAGGGATGTTCAGGGGCTTGATGATGTGTTCTGAAAAAGCTCTTGGAACACTTGGAGATAGAAAGTTGGCAGGAAAGGGAAGATATGAGCAAAACAAATGGTCAGAATTGTACAGTGTATAGAAATTAATTCTCAGAGTCCCAATTTTTACCTATGTAATGGAGGGTGATGCTGATATCAAAACTAAAGTTACAGCAGGTTAAGTGACTTTTCCAAAGCCACAAGAATAGTACATGGCAGAAGTAGGTCAGGAACTCAAGAATCTCTGGGTCTATCATGAGTCCCCTTTCCCTAACACCATAACACCTGTCCTTTAGCTGTTGACTTGAGAACCAACAACCACCAAGAAAAGAAATGATAGGAACTGTTATGCTTTGTGAGATGTCATTGAATTGGCCAAGTAATCAACACAAATATTTTATTTTGGCTTCCTGATCTATTAAAATTGTGTAATCTATTAAATAGGCACAAAAAACTCATAACATCTCAATATCTACTGACAGGTCTACATGGGAGTACTTAAATTTCCTGAAGAATTCAGTCTGGAAAAATTCTCCTAGTAGAGACAATTCAGCTCCAAAGATTTTTCTCATCAGTAGGTTATAAACACAGCAACACCAGAAGCCAAGCTACATGTGACCAAATATTAGATCTGAGTTGACCAAGAAGTCATTGAAATTGTCTGAGAAAACCCAGAAAGTGACTATGTCAATTGTCTGGTATCATGTGGAAATGATCACTTTAATCAAGATCAAGTTAATTTTAGTTTTCATACCTTTGGGTTTCCTGCACTATTGTGATTGGAAAAGTGATGTATAGTACATATTTGACATTGCATACCTTTACCCTGAAATAGATGCTACCCACTGTAGCAGACTAAGTACATTCATATCCTCTTGGCTTCGCTGGGAGGTCCCTAGTTCCCAGGTGTGTTAGCTGCTTTCTGTATTTCTCTTTGCTTTAGCAGGTTCTCTGACCATGAGGTATCTTTCTTGCAGTGTGGGCCAGGTGTGCTGGGGAGTTTACATCCCTGAGAGCATCTGTCAATAGAAGCTGTTGGATAAACACCCCCATGTCTTCTCTCATTTATGGTACAATTCTGAAGTGTAATCTCTCAAGAGTTCCCAATGGAACGGTGGCACTGTTGCCCTCAGCAGTAACCCTCTTATGAAGACACCTATTATTAGCTTTTCTCTCTTTCTCACTTTACGTATCCACTTTTCCTAAAAACACTTCACAATAAACTACTTGCACCCAAATCCTTGTCTTAGAGTCTGTTTGCAGAAACCTAAACTAAGACAACCAAGTCCCCATTAGTCCATCAGACTGTTGGTGGTGTGCATAATTGGCTCTGCTAGGATTAGGCAAATTAAGCTGAATCTTGTTTATTTCCTTATAAAAGAGAAAGAATATGGTACAAAAATTTAGCATCTCTCTTTTGTCTTCATCCAGGATTATTGTTACTAATGATGAAACGACATTCATGGAGCTAAGAGGAAAGGTTCAATGACCACTAGCTACACATCTGACTGATGTAAGTTCTTCCATTTAGAAGGCTCAACAGAAGGGACTGTGGCCCCAACATCTCTGATACTTTTAGTACTTCTACCCAAGGAACCAGAAAGTGGGCCTGGGCATTGGCAGGGACCACACTACTCAATTAAAGTTCGATGTCTATGCTGATGTGACCCAAGTGCAGCCATTCTCAGATCATAGCTCCTAAGGCCACTGTGGTCATCACCTCCTCCTTGACCAAAGGAGAGAGGGCCTGTGGGATGGTTATGGGGCAGGTCAGGAAGTGGCACATTTTGCTTCCTCCCAATCCCATTGGCTGCAACTCAGTCACGTGGCCATACTTACCATAAGGAAGGCTGGGAAATGTGGTCTAGCCCTGCGTCCGGGAAAGAGGAGAATGCAGATTTTGATGACCATTAACAGTCTCAGCTATACATGGCTCAGAGCTTGACTCAGGGTGACCTTTTTCATGTTCATGGGATTATAGTAGCAGCCATAGTAAGGCAGCAATGTAAGTAAAAATTAGAGGCTCTAAAAAAAATGTTCATAAAATGCTTTTAGTCCTGTTCCTTAAAATCTGTTTCCAGACATCTGGAATGCATAGACTCTGTGGTAGGCATTTATACAGTTTGTCTCTCAATTTACTTGGCAATCGATCTGGACTCCTAAATGTGACTGGATTATTTTATACCCCTGTGGGTCATGACCTGGCTTCAAAAGTCCAAGTGGTCCCCAGACACTTGAAGGGTGAACCCATGCTAGCGTGGCCTGACCCTAGAGTTAAATCTTAAGGTGATTCTGGGGTCTTTGAAGAATAAATGTTCTAAGATTCCAAGCACTTGCGACTAAGCTCTTCTGATATTGACAAAAACAGAGGTTCGGCAGTGCGGATTCTAAGAGGTGATGGTCAATGGGTCTGCTGGGGGAGCTAAATCTCTCTAGCCACAGCAATCTCAAATTTAACACACATAAATCAGCCCACAACTTGTATGCAAACAATATAATTTTGCCTTCAAACTTAATTTTAATTTTGAAGACCCCCCCCACCCACATTTCACCAGGTGGTTGATATAATCTCTGTTCATT